GCATTCACTGAACACTTTTTCTTAACAGGGAAGAAGGAACAAACTTCTTCTCAGAATCTATTCCACAGAACTTAGACTTTGTTAGGGATTCTCTTGGGAGAAGATATCCCAGGGGGACCAAGGCTTAGCAATCTACAGCAAATGTTTTATGGTTTATTTATCTTTTTTTTTTTTTGAGACAGGGTCCACTTTGTTGCCCAGGCTAAAGTGCAGTGACATGATCTTGGCTCACTGTAGCTTCCACCTCCCAAGTGCAAGCAATTCTCCTGCCTCAGCGTCCCGAGTAGCTGAGGTGAACTATAGGCACACACTACCACGTTCAGGTAATTTTTGTATTTTTAGTAGCGACAGAGTTTCACCATGTTGGCCAGGCTTGTCTGGAACTCTTGATCTCAAGTGATCTGCCTGCCTCAACCTCCCAGTGCTGGGATTACAGGTGTGAGCCACCCCTACCCTGTTCTGAAAGCTTTGCTCTGTTTTTTCCTTTTTTTTTTTTAGGCATACACCACCACGCCTGGATAATTGTGTAATTTTAGTAGAGATGGGGTTTCACTATGTTGTACGGGCTAGTCTCGATCTCCTGACCTCAGGTAATCCACCTGCCTCAGTCTCCTAAAGTGCTGAGATTACAGGCATGAGCCAGTGTGCCTGGTCCCAGAGTGAGACCTTGTCTGAAAAAAAAATTTGCAAAAATGTTGATGGTGCTAAAAGCACAGGAGAGAGCGAGAGAGAGAGCAAGAAAGAGAGAGAGAGAGAGAGAGAGAGCAAGAGCAAGAAAGAGAGAGAGCAAGAAAGAGAGCAAGAAAGAGAGAGAGAGAGAGCAAGAAAGAGAGAGAGAGAGCAAGAAAGAGAGAGAGAGACTGAACAACAGTGACATCTTTCAGCTTTGTCACCTACTGCTGTTGCCTGCCATTTTCTGCTGCCTGTACTGAAAAGTAGAAAGCCAGGACACAGAGAAGGAACAGGAAGCCTCAGAGAGAGGCTGAAAAGAGGGAAAGGTAGACAGCCACTGTGCTGGGTTCCCTCCAGCCCTCAGCTCCCATCTCCTTCTAAACTCACCTGCATCTCACCCAGCGTCTGTCCAGCAAAATTCCTATGATCTCTTGAGCAAAGCAGACTGGCTTTAAAAGAGCTGTGGTCCTTTTTTTTTTTTTTTTTTTTTTTTTTTTTTGAGACGGAGTTTCGCTCTTGTTACCCAGGCTGGAGTGCAATGGCGCAATCTCGGCTCACCGAAACCTCCGCCTCCTGGGTTCAGGCAATTCTCTTGCCTCAGCCTCCCAAGTAGCTGAGATTACAGGCACGCGCCACCATGCCCAGCTAATTTTTGTATTTTTAGTAGAGACGGGGTTTCACCTTGTTGACCGGGATGGTCTCGATCTCTTGACCTCGTGATCCACCCGCCTCGGCCTCCCAAAGTGCTGGGATTATAAATGTGAGCCACCGCGCCTGGCCAAGAGCTGTGGTCTTTACAGCAACATTTCATTAATCAGCAGGACTTTAAGGTAAGTAAGGGAATATGTTGGAAGAGGAAGAAAACATTTTGCCAAAGGCTTTGTTTAGGTAAACCAGCCAAAAAAAAAAAAAAAAAAGCAGCCAGGTGCAATGGCTCACGCCTGTAATCCCAGAACTTTGGGAGGCCAGGGCAGGTGGATCACATGAGGTCACTAGTTGGAGACCAGCCTGACCAATATGGAGAAACACTGTCTCTACTAAAATTACAAAAAAAATTAGCCAGGAGTGTTGGCGTGTGCCTGTAGTCCCAGCTACTTGGGAGGCTGAGGCAAGTGAATCGCTTGAACCCAGGAGGCAGAGGCTGCAGGGGGCTGAGATCGTGCCACGGCACTCCAGCCCAGGGAACAGAGCAAGACTCTGTCTCAAAAAAAAAAGCCAACAAATTAGTAGCAAACTTCAGTTATCCCTGAAGATTGAGAGAAGTAAAAACATCAGCTAATTCTTTCTGTCACCAGGCTCCAGGCTAGAGTGCAGTGATGCAATCTCGCTCCCTGAACCTCCACCTCCTGGGTTCAAGCAATTCTCCCACCTCAGTCACCCGAGTAGCTGGAACTACAGGTGCATGCCACCATGCCCAGCTAATTTCTGTATTTTTTAGTAGAGATGGGGGTTTCACCATGTTGGCCAGGATGGTCTCGATCTCTTGACCTCGTGATCCACCCACCTTGGTCTCCCAAAGTGCTGGGATTACAGGTGTGAGCCACCACGCCCAGCTCCTAATTCTTTAATTCTTTTTTTTTTTTTTGAAATATGGGGTTTCACCATATTTGTCAGGCTGGTCTTGAACTCCTGACCTTAGGTCATCCACCCACCTCAGCCTCCCAAAGTGCTGGAATTACAGGTGTGAGTCACCACGCCCAACCTAATTCTTTTTACTATAAATGACCTAAAATGATGTGTATACATCTGTTGGTACATGTGACATAATTAAAAGAATATATATTTGGTCTCTGTCCTTGGTTCCTCGCACACAGCTCTAAAACCCTTGTAATTTCCCGAGTGATGGGGTGATAAGAGCATCTTTTGTCACGTTTAGTCTTTTTTCAGTGTTTTTCTTGTGTGTGTGCGCATGTGTGCGTGCATGTGTGTGTGTGTGTGTGTGTGTGTGTGTGTGTGTGTGTGTTACGGAGTCTCGCTCTGTCCCCAGGCTGGAGTGCAGTGGCTTACAGCCACCTTTGCCTCCTGAGTTCAAGCGATTCTCCTGCCTTAGCTTTCCGAGTAGCTGGGATCACAGGTGTCCACTACCACGCCCAGCTAATTTTGGTATTATTAGTAGAGGCAGGATTTCACCACGTTGGCCAGGCTGATCTTGAACACCTGACCTTGTGATCCACCCCAAAGTGCTGAGATTACAGGCATGAGCCATGCCCAATTGAGGGTTGGAATTTTTAGCCCCACCCCTGATCCCTGGAGAGGGGAGACAGGCTGGAAGATGAGATTAATCACCAATGGCCAGTGAATTTAACCAATTGTGCCTACACAATGGAACCTCCATAAAATCTCTAAACAGTTTGAAGAGCTCCTGTATTAGTGAACACGTGGAGGCCATGAAAGGTCCACACGCCTTCCCCATACCTTGGCCTATGCCTCTCTTCCTCCCGCTGTTCATTTGTACCCTTCATAACAAACGAGTAAATATAATTCAGGTGTTTCCCTGAGTTCTGTGAGATATTAAAGCAAAGTATCAGACCTGAAGAGAGGGTCATGGGAACCCCCAATTTGTAGCCACATCAGTCAGAAGCACTGGAGGCCTCGGCTTTGCAACTGGCATCCAAAGGGAGGGCAGTCTTGGGGGACCGAGCCTTTTATCTGTGAAGTTTGACTCTATTCTGGGTAGGTAGTGTTGGAATTGAATTGAATCCTAGGACACTGGGCTGATGTCAGGAGAATTGAAAGACTGGTTGGTGATATGGTTTGGATCTATATCTCCACCCAAATCTCACACGGAATTGCAATTCCCAATGTTGGGGGTGGGGCCTGGTGGGAGGTGAATTCATCATGGAGGTTGAGGAGGAGGTGGAGGCCGATTTCCCCCTTTGGTGCTGTTCTCATGATAGAATTCTCAGGAGATTTTTTTTGTCTTTAGTTGGAGTCCCACTCTGTCACCCAGGCTGGAGTGCAGTGGTGCAATCTAGGCTCACTGCAACCTCCACCTCCCAGGTTCAAGCAAGTCTCATGCCTCAGCCTCCTGAGTAGCTGTGCTAACTGTTGTATTTTTAGTAGAGGCAGGGTTTCACCGTGTTGGCCAGGCTAGTCTTGAACTCCTGCCTTCAGTTAATCCTCCTACCTCAGCCTCCCAAATTGCTGGGATTCCAGGTGTGAGCCAGTGTGTGGCAGCTCCCCGTTCGCCGCCGCCTCCTCCTGCTCTGGCCATGTGATACATCTCATTCCCCGCTTGCCTTCTACCATGATTGTAAGTTTCCTGAGGCTTTCTAGGCCATGGTTCCTGTACAACTTGCAGCATTGTGAGACAATTAAACTTTTCTTTATAAATTACCCAGGTATTTCTTTATAGCAAGGTGAGAATGGACTAATACAGTTGGTGTGAGGAAAAAACCCTCACACGTCTTTGGCATCAGAAGTGTGAGAGGAGCCCATTGTTTCCTTTGGTGTGTGCAGTGCCCTCTCCGTTGGTACATTTTGCAACCCACAGTTTTTTTTTTTTTTTTTGAGATGGAGTCTTACTTTGTTGCTCAGGCTGGAGTGCAGTGGTACAATCTCGGCTCACTGCAACCTCTGTCTCCCGGGTTCAAGTGATTCTCCTGCCTCAGCCTCCTGAGTAGCTTAGACCACAGGCATGTGCCACCGCACTAGGCTAATTTTTTTTTTTTTTGTATTTTTAGTAAAGATAGGGCTTCACTGAGTTAGCCAGGATGGTCTTGATCTGACCTCATGATCTGCCCGCCTCGGCCTCCCAAAGTGCTGGGATTACAGGTGTGAGCCACTGCACCTGGTAACAATCCCACAATTATAAGTCTTAAATAGCAACAGCTACGGCGTTAACATTTATTTAGAAGTTGACGATTTGCAAAGCATTTCTGTTGTAGACAATGTGTAGAATGACAGTAGGTGGGTGTGGGAGGAAGGGAAAAAGATTTAGGGTGCCCAGGGTCCCTGTTTGTATCAGGACAACCTGCATTAAAGCTAAAGATGGGGCCAGGAGTTTTTTCTGTTTTTTTTTTTTTTTTGAAATGGAGTCTTGCTCTGTCACCCAGGCTGGAGTACAGAGACATGACATAGGCTCACTGCAACTTCCATCTTATGGGTTCAAGTGATTCTCCTGCCTCAGCCTCCCAAGTAGCTGGGACTACAGGCACCCGCCACCACACCCACCTCATTTTTGTATTTTTTAGTAGAGACAGGGTTTCACCAAGTTGGCCAGGCTAGTCTCGAACTCCTGACCTTAAGTGATCCATCTGCCTTGGCCTCCCAAAGTGCTGGAATTACAGGTGGGAGCCACTGCACCTGGTCCATTAATATAATTAAAAAACAATATGGAACACTTTATGAATTTGCGTGTCATTCTTGCACAGGGGCCATGCTAATCTTCTCTGAATTGTTCCAATTTTAGCATATGTGCTGTCAAAACAAGCACTCATTAATTTCCTAAAAAAATAAAAGTGACAATGGCCCGTGACAAAGCCCTCAGCAGGTCTTGAGAACACGTGGCTAGATCTCCTTTTCTGAGAGGATTGCTCTGAGTGTGGGTGCACGACTTGCACCAGGCAGGAAGACAGTCAGGAGGCCGACACCTTGCCTTGGCAGAGGCGGTGGTGCTGGGTAAGGTGAGCCGCTTGTGGGAGGGAGCAAAGAGGAGAGATTCCACTTTCCCCCGGAGCCACTGTCCTTTTCTCCATTTCTTCAACAGGAGTTGAAAGTTCCTGCTGATCTCTTAGAGAGGATGAAGGTTAAATGAAGGAGTGCATGATAAGCCTTTGGCTCAGAGTTAGTTGCCAGTAAGTGATAGGTGTTGTTTCCGCCTCACCAAGCTTACATTCTAGTGTGAGAAACAGACAGAAGCAGCAGTAAAAATAAAGTGTTAGTAGGATTGAGAGGGGCGAAAGGGGGCGCTGCGGCGACACTTGTGTCTCCCCTTGAAATAAAGCAACAGGCGAATAGGTATCTCTGCCCAGCTTTCTGTCCTACTCACCATCTTTCTGACTGAATTTCCTTGTGTTCATCTGTCTTTCTTCTTCTTCTATTCCTTCTAACAGGAGATTTATCTGACCGTTGCTTCCCGAAGAACTATCCTATTTCAGCCAGGTGTGGTAGCTCATGCCTGTAATCCAAGCACTTTGGAGGCCAAGGCCAGCAGATCACCTGAGGTCAAGAGTTCAAGACCAGCCTAACCAACATGGTGAAACCCCGTCTTGAAAAAAACCCAGAACTATCCTATTTCTATTCCTGTAAAATTGTTGTAAAATTAGCATGGCCCCTGTGCAAGAATGACACGCAAATTCATAAAGTGTTCCATATTGTTTTTTAATTATATTAATGGACCAGGTGCCGTGGCTCCCACCTGTAATTCCAGCACTTTGGGAGGCCAAGGCAGATGGATCACTTAAGGTCAGGAGTTCGAGACTAGCCTGGCCAACTTGGTGAAACCCTGTCTCTATCTCATTCTTCTGCTCCTGGAAAAATAACTGAGACCTTCCTGGCTCAGGATGCAGACCCAAGCCAGGGCCAAGGCCAGGTGCCAGGTGAGGCCAGCAGGAAGTGCTGGGTCTTCTCTCTAGGGTCACTACACAGTCACCACTCACCTCCAACCCATTTCATCTTCCCTATGTGCAAAAACTTGGTCCCATTCATCCATGTCCAGATCGGCAGGCTTGGAGTGCGGGCTGGGAGGTGGCCTCCAGGAGGGAAGGGAAGAAGAAGGACTTGTCTCTCAGGAGAAATAGCCATCATTTCCTGACACTTCCTCTGTGCCACAGACTTAAAGATCATTTTTTAACATTTAGTATGTATCAGTAATATGTTGATGGAGTGAAAAACGGGGTAATTAGTAAAAATTCCCCTGGCCTTTTCCTGAGATGTATGGTGCATTTACAAACACAGATACATATATATTCTTTTTTTTTTTTCACCATGTTGGTCAGGCTGGTCTTAATCTCCCTACCTCAGGTGATCTGCCCGCCTTGGCCTCCAAAATGCTTGGATTACAGGTGTGAGCCACCATGCCTGACCAATACATACATATTCTTATGTTTTTTGTTTGTTTGTTTGTTTTTAGATGGAGTCTTGCTCTTGTCACTCAGGCTGGAGTGCAATGGCGTGATTTCTGCTCACTGCAACCTCCACCTCCTGGGTTCAAGTGATTCTCCTGCCTCAGCCTCCTGAGTAGCTGGGATTATAGGTGCCCACCACCATGCCTGGCTAACTTTTGTATTTTTAAAGGAGAGACAGGGTTTCACCATGTTGGCCAGGCTGGTCTTGAATTCATGGCCTCAGGTGATTCACCCGCTTCAGCCTCCCAAAGTGCTGGGATTACAGGCGTGAGCCACCGTGCCTGGCTCTTTTTTTTTTTTAACCAAAATTGTGGCGGCTTACCTGATACACATCGTCATCTTTTTTTTTTTTTGAGATGGTATCTCACTCTGTCACCCGTGCTGGAGGGCAGTGTCATGAGCATGACTTACTGTAACCTTGAACTTCTGGGCTCAAGTAATCCTCCTGCCTTAGCCTCCTTAGTAGCCAGGACTACAGATGTGTGCTACCACACCTGGATAATTTTTATTTTTGTAGAGATGGGGATCTTGCCATGTTGCCCAGACTGGTCTTAAACTCCTGAGCTCAAGTGAGTCCTGTCTCAGCCTCCCAAAATGTTGGGGTTATAGGCATGAGCCACCACGCCCAGCCTCCACCTTGCTTTTTCACTTAGTAATATAGCTTCTATAAATATAATTTTATATATACCTCCATATAGAGCTATGCAATTGCTGGACGGATATGTCAAAATTTATTTAACCCATCTTCCATCAATGAAAATTTAGGCTGTCTCTAGGCAATTTTTCTTGCCACGGCCCTTGGACCTAAGCTCTAGTCTTACATACACATTTTACAGATGAGAAAACAGGCTCAGAAAAGTTCGTAGCACATGGACCAGCTCACATAGGAAATAATCAGAAGCCAGGTTCCCATCCAGTGACCTTACCCTTAACCACAATAAAAATAGCTTTTATCAGCTGGGCTCGGTGGCTCGTGCCAGTCATCCTAATACTTTGGGAGGCCGAGATAGGTGGATCACTTGAGGTCAGGAGTTTGAGACCGGGTTGGCCAATATGGCAAAACCCCATCTCTACTAAAAACACAAAAATTAGCTGACGTGGTGGTGGGTGCCTCTAATCCCAGCTTCTGGGGAGGCTGAGACAGAATTGCTTAAAACTGGGAGGCGGAGGTTGCAGTGAGCTGAAATTGGGCCACTGCACTCCAGCCTGGGTGACAGAGCGAGACTCTGTCTCAAAATAAACAAATAAATAAAAGCTTTTATTTTGAACCAGGAAATGACTTACCCACACACATAATTTTCTGTTTTAGAATAGTTTTAGATCTACAGAAAAACTTTGTAGATAAGATAGTTTTCACATGACCCATACCCAGTTTCCCCTACTATTAGCATTCTTTATCAATATGGTACATTTCTCACAATTAATGAACCAAGATTCATACATGACTATTAACTAAAGTCCTTACTTTATTCAGATTTCCATATTTTTAATATGTTTTAACTTGCGTACCGGGATCTGAGTGGCTCAAACTACTGGCGTGCACCACCACATTCAGGTAATTTTTAAATTTTTTGTAGAGATGGGGCCTCACGTTGTTGCCCAGGCTGGTTTCCAACTCCTGGGCTCAAGCCATCCTCCCACCTCAGCCTCCTAAAGTGCTGGGATTACAGGCGTGAGCCACGGCGCCCAGCCGGTTATTTTTGGTATTTATTTCTTTATTAGATTAGATTTGATTTTAGATACCGGGGGGTCCATGTGCATGTTTGTTACGTGGGTGTATCGGGTACTGGTGGGGACTGCGCTCCCAGTGCGCCAGTGCTATGGTTATTTTTCAAGCGCAGCGAGACAGCCGGAGGTCGCTGCTTGTTGCTGCCGCTGGATGGAGCCTTGCGGGATCTCCGGGTTCCGCAGCCCCTCTCTGGTCCCTGAGCTGGGCTCCTCGCGGGGTCCAGCGGGCGGCGGGCGTGGGAAGGGCAGCTTCGGCGCCCCGCCCCGGCCTCTGTGATGTCAGCGCCGGAACCTGGAATCCCGGCTCCGCGAGGGAAGGTCGGGGACTCGGCGGCGGCGGCGGAGGGAGCGGATCCCCGGCGGCCTCAGGGGCACGGGGCGCAGCCATGAGCGAGTCCAGCGCCAGTGCGCTCCCGCCCGGCAGGCCCAGCCGGCAGCCGGCGGTCCACTCAGGTAGGGCGGCGGGGAGCGCGCGCGAGGACGGTGCCCCCGGTGTCCGAGGGCGCACGGAGGGAGCTGTGTCCTGGAGGCTCGGCCCGGCGGCTGTCCCCTCCCACCCCTGGCGCTGGGTGCTCCCGGCCTTGGGGAGCAGCAGGTGGGAAGGAGGGTCTTCCTTGTCCTACTTTCTTCTCCAACGCGTCCTCACCCAATCCAGAGGGAGCCAGCGGGGCCAAAAGCAGGGCTAGAAAGGTAGTCCGGACCGTGGTGGGTTCGTCTTCCAGTTGACCGAGAGCCTCGGACAGTGTTTCAACAGCCTCATCTGTTAAATGAAACGATTGCGGGTACCCCTCCACGCCTAACATTCTGCTGTGAGGTGCCTGCCTCGCAGACATTTCAGGCTTCACATATATACAGTTAGAACAACTTGAAACCGAATTCTACCTTGTCTGTTTATTGCTGTGGGACCTTTGGTAAGTGGCTTGCCTTCTCTGAGCCTCAGCTCCTTCAGCAGTAAAATGGGAATAAGATGGTGCTGGGATTAACTGAGAACCGTGAGCCGTGTCTAGCAGTACCTGGCATTGTGGATAGACAGACATCATAAATGGCAGCCAGCCAAGCATTATAATCTTTTGTATTGGGTAGAATTTACAGTAAAGTGTACAGCTCCATGGATTTCTACATAAGTATGTACAACGGCTGCCCAGTCAAGACAGACAAGCTGCCAGCAGCACTCAGGCAGGCTTCCTTGTAGCATTTGGAGCTTACGAATCTCGTACTGAAGAAGACACAAGACCCTGCTGTAAAGTTTTATCTTTTTCAATTTTAGAAGAGAGATTTAATGAAACCAAGGCCGTAGAATAAAACATGGGTGTAGATTTGGGCATTGCGCCCTTCGAATTGGATTGTTCCCAATGTCTAGAAGAAAAAACGTAGAAGAGACCCAAACCAGAAAACAAAAGTTGGGCTGGGTTCAACGCAAGTTATTTTCTAGCTCAGTATGAAGGCTGCTGGTGCCGGTGGAATTTCAGCCTTTCAATAATAGCTAGCCAGGTATTTTTCTAGTTGGTTTCTATTGGTCGTCATCTTATTTTAATGGAATCCATTACATTGAAGATGTCAAGTTCCTCATTTCCCATCTAAAAAGTGTGACATTCAACTTTCTTGAATCTTCGCTAAGTATTTAAGGGGACTTTTGGCATTTTTAAAGGAGGACTATAATTAGCCCCTCTAACTAAAAAGTCTCCTACGACCCTTAGATAGATGAATTTTTAATTTTGTTTTTATTTTTTGAGATGGAATTTCACTCTTGTTACCCAGGCTGGAGTGCAGTGGCTGCGATCTCAGCTGACTGCAACCTCTGCCTCCCGGGTCAAGCGATTCTCCTGTTTCAGCCTCCCTGGTAGCTGGGACTACAGGCACCTACCACAACACCTGGCTCATTTTTTTTGTATTTTTAGTGGAGACGGAGTTTCACCATGTTGGCCATGCTGGTCTCAAACTCCTGACCTCAGGTGATATGCCCTCCTTGGCCTCCCAAAGTGCTAGGATTACAGGCGTGAGCCACTGCACCCATCTGATAGATGAGATTTTTTTTTTTTTGACCTTGTACCCACCAACATTGGTGGGAGGCTCAGAACGACTGTGTGTAACTTTGTAGCACTTTCTAAATAGTGACCCGTTGTATGTTGCTATAGGACAGACCCTGGGGCGGGCGGGGGATGGGGGAGGTGACAAAGAGGTCTGGTTTAAAGAATGAGAAGTGTGATCAGGCATGGTGACTCATGCCTGTGATCCTAGCACTTTGGGAGGCAGCCGTAAAATGGGAATAGGAGGATGCTGGGATTAGTTTATTCTTTGAAAGCTCTTCTTTTTTTTTTTTTTTTTGTCATTGAATGGGTTTTCGTTTATTAAATTGGGGTCCAAGTAAGCAGATTATTGCTCGAGGTCTTTGAAAGCTCTTACCACCATCTGAAGTCATCTGGTTTGGCTGTTTCCTTGTTTAGTAGCAGTCTTTTTTCTTTCTTTCTTTTTTTTTTTTTGAGGTGAGGGGATCACCTGAGGTCAGGAGTTTGAGACCAGCCTGGCCAACACAATGCAAAAATTAGGTGGGTGTGGTGGCATGTGCCTGTAATTCCAGCTACTCTGGGAGCCTGAGGCAGGAGAATTGCTTGAACTCGGGAGGCAGAGGTTGCAGTGAGATGAGATCGCACCACTTCACTCCAGCCTGAGCAAGAGAGCTAGACTCCATCTCAAAAACAGAAAAACAAAAAACAACTTTCCAGTGGCTTCTCATTGCTCTGAGAATAAACTCCAGGCTCTTCCATGGCAACCAACAGGGTATGGTGATTCGACCCTAGCCCCTCTTTCCAGGCCCTCATCACCTTGACCTTCCCTTAATCCATCCCGCCCCAGCTGCCCTGGCTGCCTTCCTATTCTTCAAGCATATCAAGATGGTTTCTGCCTCAGGGCCTTGCATCTGCTGTTCTCTTTGCCTGGACTCCTCTTGGTTCTTTGCATTTATTCTTTCTTTTTTTTTTTGAGACCGAGTTTTTCATTCTTGTTGCCCAGGCTGGAGTGTAAGGGCATGACCTCAGCTCACTGCAACCTCTGCCTCCCGGGTTCCAGTGATTCTCCTGCCTTAGCCTCCTGAGTAGCTGGGATTACAGGCACGTGCCACCATGCCTGGCTAATTTTGTATTTTTAGTAGAGACAGGGTTTCTCCAGGTTGATCAGGTGGGTTTTGAACTCCCAACCTCAGTTGATCTGCCTGCCTTGGCTTCCTAAAGTGTTGGGATGACAGCGTGAGCCACCACACCCAGCCTTCCTTTTGGTTCTTAATAGGGCATCCTCTTCCTTCTGTTGGGTTTCTGCTCAAATGTCATGTCAGAGAGGCAGAGCTCTGAGGCTGTCTTGTGTGAGGGAATGCCCCCATCTCTCTTCCTCCGACCTTGCTTATTCTTTGAAAGCTCTTACCACCATCTGAAGTCATCTGGTTTGGCTGTTTCCTTGTTTCATAGCAGCCTTTTTTTTTTTGAGACAGAGTCTCCAGACTGGAGTGCAGTGGTATGATCTTGGCTCACCACAACCTCTACCTACTGGGTTCAAGCGATTCTCCTGCCTCAGCCTCCCTAGTAGCTGGGATTATAGGCGCGCACCACTATGCCCTGCTAATTTTTGTGTTTTTAGTAGAGACAGGGTTTCACTATATTGGCCAGGCTGGCCTCGAACTCCTAACCTCGTGATCTGCCCACCTCAGCCTCCAAAAGTGCTGGAATTACAGGCGTGAGGTACTGTGCTCAGCTAGTAGCAGTCGCTCCTGGAATGAGGATGCCTTGGAAAACAGGGGTTTCGCCTTGTTTCCCTAGAACCTAGAATGGCTCACAGCATACAGCAGATACCACATATATTGGTTATACATGTAGACTCTAGAGTCTCAGGTGCAAATTCTCTTTCCCTCATTTATGGGTTTTGACTTTGGCCAAGGCAATCAAGTGTTTGGTGCCTCAGTCCTTGAGTATGAAATGGAGATAATAATAGGATCTACTTTAGGGGATCATTGTAAGAATTAGATGAGTTCATTTATATAAAAAACGTAGTAAGTTCTAATATTACCGCTGGGCATGGTGGCTTAGGCCTGTAATCCCAGCCCTTTGGGAGGCTGATGGTGGATCACTTGAAGCCAGGAATTTGAGACCAGCCTGGCCAACATGGTGAAACTCTGTCTCTACTAAAAATACAAAAATTAGCCTGGCATGGTGGTATACACCTGTAATCCCAGCTACTTGCGAGGCTGAGACACAAATATCGCTTGAACAGGAGAGGCGGAGGTTGCAGTGAGCCGAGATCGTGCCACTGCACTCCAGCCTGGGAGAAAGAGCAAGACTTGTCTCAAAAAAAATAAAATGGCTACATAATAATAATAATAATATTAGGTGTTTGTATTGTTTCAAATTACTTCAAAACTTAGTGGCTTAGAACAATAATAATCACTTATTTATTTTATTTTATTTTTTGAGATAGAGTCTCGCCCTGTCACCCAGTCTGGAGTGCAGTGGTGCGATCTCAGTTCACTGCAACCTCTGCCTCCCAGATTCAAGCAATTCTCCTGCCTCAGCCTCCCAAGTAGCTGGGACTACAGGCACGTGCCACCAGGCTAATTTTTGTGTTTTTAGTAGGTTGGGGGCGGGGGGTTGGTTTCACCATATTGGCCACATTGGTCTCGAACTCTTGACTTCAGGTGATCTACCTGCCTTGGCCTCCCAAAGTGCTGGGATTACAGGCATGAGCCAATGTGCCTGTCTGGTGACTGGCTTCTTTCACTTAGTGTAATGTGTTCAAGGTTCATCTGCATTAAAGCAGGTGCCACAGCTCCATTCCTGCTTAGGCGCAGCTGAATAGTGTTGCTTTCTGTGGCCAGACTGCATCCTGTTGATCCGTTTCCCCGCTGATGGACATTTGAGTTGTTTTCACCTTTTGAACTACTATGACTAGTGCCGCTGTGAACCCTTCTGTACAAGTTGTTTGAACATTTATTTTCAGCTCTTTTGGACGTATGCCTAGGAATGGAATGGCTGGATCCTATAGTAAATTCTTCTGTTGCCAAAAGCCGGAATGCAGTGGTGTATGATCATGGCTTTTTTGAGAAACAGACAAACTTACCCTGTTGTTCAGGGAGGAGCACTGAAGAGGCTCAGCCAAGATCTCTAGATCACTGTGAAGGGGTGGCTGGGCAAGGTGGCATCAACGCTGTATGATGGCTGCGAGGCCACTGGCCTCTCGCCTCTCCTCCAGCCTCCTCAAGGGGCACTCAGGGAAGAAACCTGGAAGGGCCGGGATGTGGCTGTGTTTGGACTGACCCTGACAGCCAGAGGGTGGGACTTGGTCTGGAACAAGGACTACTTGTAATGGTAGGGGCGAAACTTAACAGCCCCCGGGGCTGCTCTTGTGGTGGAGCTGGACCCTAATTTTTTTTTTTTTTTTTTGAGATGTAGTCTTGCTCTGTTGCCAGGCTG